ATACGAATATATGTATAATATACACTATTATATAGAGGAAAAAAAGCCCTCGAGAGATACGTGAAAAAGTATCCTTTGTAGGTACCTGAAACACCGTCACAATAGCCCAGAGTAACGAGTCAAAGTTTTTTCTATCACACTCGACGTCAGAGCTGCCTTTCATCGTTTCACAGAATTTGCAACCAAACAGGTTCATCCCGAGAATACTACAACACAACGAAACGTGCAATGTACTCTCTTATCCGTAAATATATATAGATAGATAGGTATATATATATATATGTGTGTGTGTATGTCTGTACGTGTATGTCAAATGAAATAAAATAAGAAGGACGCAAGATAGACAGAGGGCGGGTGGAGAAAGGGGGCTAGATGTACGAGATTGAAACGAAACGTAATAAAATAAACGAAAAAAAAATAGAAACGCGATTAGAAAGGCTTCCGTGTCGATCGAGTGAAACGAAATTACACGAAAAGTAATGTGCGCACTCGAGCTTCTCGCGTCCTTCGTTAAATGGAACCGTTCCTGTTCCCTCGATTTCATTTTATAATACTTTGCGTCGTCAAGTGTGCAGAAATCTGATCGACAGTTAAATACAACCGAAAAATTGTTCGCAGATTCTAGAAACGCTTTATTGTCAGCGAAAACAATGGTCGGCTGCTAATGGAAAACTGAAAATTAAAGTCTTCTTGTTGGGCTATCGAGAAAAGTCGATCGTTTGTTGGTCCCCTGTGTTTGGACACGAATTGTTACAGTTTTTATGTAAATTTAAAGTCTTATCGTATTCTAAGAAATGTCTGATCGCCGGAATATGTACAGTAAATCATTTTGAAACGCTTCTAGTCGCTTCTATCGCCTGAATTCGATAGTACAGTTTTGATCCAAAGAAAAGGAAGAAGAAAAACAGAAATGCCATGTGAAAAGTGCAATACTTCCAACAAAAGCTGCAAGTAAACCGCATTTTAATTCCCGTTTATGTATCGATGAATGTCGAGCTACCAAAATATCAAATCTTCCCATAAGTAATATCGTTTTCTTTTTTGTTCTGAAAGAATAGTACAGGGAAACGTGGGGAAATTCTTTTTTTAATTTATATAGAAAATAATAATTGCACGATTTCTAGGTTTAATCTTTTGGGAGGAAAACGCAGAAATATTCAAATATTGTTTTAAAATTAATTAGAAATATAGTTATATGGAAAAAGACACAGAATTCACATTTTAAACACGTTGAATCTTTAACGATAAAAATCACAATATTGAAACTATTGAAACGGTTTTTATAAACAGATTAAATCCTTCGGGAATAAATACTCTGCAGAGTGGGGGAAATTCAATCAGAATCGATACAATAGTTTCGGAGATTAGCCCAGAAACTGGCACGAAATCATAAAAAAATAAAAATAAAATACACGTATAGGACAATTTTTAAATATTTTTGCGTTTTAAAATTCATTTCTACTATTCTCATTATCTGAACAAAGTTTTGTACAATTTCACTCTTTTTAAATTTGAATTTCTTACGATTTTTAGATCTTTCAAAGAGGAGTGAAATTAATTTGAATTTGCAATAATATTATCCAAAGAAAGGTACAATTTTTTAGTCATGATTTATGAATTACGATATTCATTGCTCAATATTTCCGTAAATTCATTGAAGCAAACGACCGAAATGGGGTGAAATATTTTTCAGTTTTCTGTTTGTCTCGTCAAAGTCGCTGCGTAACGTTTCGTGCGGTTCCCTCGATTATTAAACGAATTTCACAGTGGAATCACGAAATTGCTGTTTCGCTGTCCATAGAGTAGTAAATACAAAGCATTAACGCGGAATAATTTCAATATTTCGCACTATCCATTAGTGCGAAAATACGTTTAGGTCATTCTACACCGAATCGATTACTGTTCGCGGTCGATGTCAGAGATTTTATTAAAATTGAAACACGACACACGTAAACGTGGCTGGGATTCGAATCATCGTTTCACTGATTTCGTATTCATTTCGAAAACACGGAATTTAAACGAAAACTGGTTGCACGAATGAATGTATTATTCGCCCCATTAAGTTGTTTCTTTCAATTTTTATTGAGAAGGATTGAGGAATTCTAGAATAAATTTTCAGGGTGATAATTATATGATAAATTAAAAATGAAATTATTTTGTGAAGCTTCGAAATATACTTTCACATTTTAATAAGAATTTATAATCTTAAGAACTGAATAATCGATCTTTTATTCTGATCGAAAATTATATGACAAATTAAAAATGAAATTATTTTGTGAAGCTTCGAAATATACTTTCACATTTTAATAAGAATTTATAATCTTAAGAACTGAATAATCGATCTTTTATTCTGATCGAAAATTATATGACAAATTAAAAATGAAATTATTTTGTGAAGCTTCGAAATATACTTTCACATTTTAATAAGAATTTATTATCTTAAGAACTGAATAATCGATCTTTTATTCTAATCGAAAATTATATGTTAAATTAAAAATGAAATTATTTTGTGAAGCTTCAAAAAATACTTTCATATTTTAATAAGAATCTGTACACTATACAGGGTGTTCGGCCACCCCTGGGAAAAATTGTAATGGCGGATTCTAGAAGCCAAAATAAGACAAAAATCAAGAATACCAATTTGTTGATGGAAGCTTCGTTAAAAAGTAATTAACGTTTAAAGTGCCGCACTTACTGAATTTTTTTCTCGAAAATGCGCAAGATTTCGGGGGTATGTCTGTTCACCAAAAATGACTGTAATTGAACCCTACAACGGAAAATAATTTTTCCACAACGATTTGCAATTTTTTAATTTTCTCGAATAATTTCACACCTTCTCTATTTTTTTTCTCGAAAGTGGGCAGGATTTCGTGGGTATGTCTAATGACAAAAACTGATTGTAATTGACCCCCGCAACCGAAAATAATTTTTCCACAACAATTTGCAATTTTTTTTCTCCGTTGAAAAATTTAGAATTGGATTTTCAGTAAGGAATTTTTTTCTCGAAAGTGCGTACGATTTCGGAGGTATGTGTAATGATAAGAAATGATTGTAATTGATCCCCGCAACCGAAAATAATTTTTTTAGAACGATTTGAAAAATTTTTTTTCGCCGAAAAATTTCACCACCTACTCGATTTTTTTTCTCGAAAGTAGATAGGATTTCGGAGGTATGTGTACTCACCAAAAATGATTGTAGTTGACCCCCGCAACCGAAAATAATTTTTCCAGAACGATTTGAAATTTTTCAATTTAATTGTTAATAACTTTTTAACGAAGCTTCCATCAACAAATTGGTATTCTTGATTTTTGTCTTATTTTGGCCTCTAGAATCCGCCATTAAAATTTTTACCAGGGGTGGCCGAACACCCTGTATAATCGATCTTTTATTCTAATCGAAAATTTAGAAAAAGTTTAGACACAGTGATGCATAAAAGCAAATAATTGCAACCGTTTCAGAGACATAATTTCCCCCAATTGTGTCATCATTGTTCAGTCAGCAAAAAATACTAGTTTGGAACTGAAAAAATATCGATAATTGTTCACCTGCATGTACATGGGTGGCAAGACTTCTTACTATGGAATTAAAACAATTAATTCTTGATTTGAAATGAGTTTGAATGAGATTTATAAATTTTAAGTTACACAAATAAGTAGTAGATACATTTTGAGTTGCATAGTTGGTTATTATAAGTGAAAATTTCCGTCGAAAATAAGATTTTGTGGTGGAAGTGTTGGAAAATGACATTACTTATGGGTCGAGGTGATCGTAGTGATGGTGGCTGAAAGAAAGCGAGCAAACGAGGATAAGGGCGATTGTGGCGAGCCAATCAACCGTCGTTCGTGAAACGCGAAATAGCGAGAGGCCGTGTACGTAGCATAATCAGATCAGAACCGGGGGTAAAAAAAGGTACATATCGTTCATTCGCAAGCTGTCTAATATCGATGACCACACCGAGGCGCACGCACTTTGTAGGCACTTGAAGGTACATAGCAGAAAGAAAAGAAAGGTAACGTAGCGACAGTGAGAAAGACGTACGATAACACGAATAAATCAAATAGATAATAGTAGAGAAGATATAAATATATATACATATAGCTCTCATACTTGTCACTAGGTAAAAACCACCATGCACACATGAGAATATATGTTTGATATACGTATATATATATTTATATCGATATTCATATGTATAACAGGTGTCCTCTAATAAAAACGGTAAAGTAATACACGTTCGATGCCTCAAGCCATGAGAAAGGGCCAACAAGACATCCCTCGTAGACGTGCCAACAAACACCCATCGCCATTACCAACACAACGTCAGAAAACGCTGCCCATAAACGCTCATAAACAGAGTTTGTGGTATGTACGAAAAACTGCTGCGAGACTCGATCGTCTATGTGATGCATTTACGCGACGAACCATATGCCGTGAGAAAAGTAAAAGCGCATAAACAAGAAAAGACAGGAGGTAAACGGAAGACATAGTCACCTAGTACACTTCGTGTTCGAAGGGCAGTGATACATAATATACAAGCTTCGGTTCCTGTGGGAAGCTCGGAAGCGGACAAAAAGCTCTTTCCAATATTTATAAATGTCAATGAGACCTCCCGCGACAAAAAAAAAAAATTCACTATTTCAAGGCTCTCTGGTTTGCACTTTACGTAACGATCAACGGATCTGCAAAAACCGGCTACGTCTCGTTGACACTTAACGTTTCGTTCGAATATTCGTCTCTCCGCAATATGTATATCCATCGATAATCCAACGACTCCAATCCGCTTTTGCGTTCATGCAAACGTTAGGCTGATGAGGTGATTATCCGATACGGTTGTTCCGCGTCCGTGAACACGAAACGCGCGTCTTATCCACGATACGATCCCCCTGGATCCGCGCGAACCGCGATCCCTGGAACGTGCACCCTCCGACTACGAGAACCGACGATGCGACAAGTACCGCGGCTAAGTCTCTGTCCAAACGGGAGAATGGGAAACGACTTACCTGAATATAAAGATGAAAAGTACTAAAAGGGAAAAGAATACGGCAACGTTATCCATCGTGCGTAGCATCACGAACAATTGACGCCTCAAGTTCGGCAAGAAACGGACCAGCTTCAAGATCCTCAGCAACCGGAAGGTCCTCAACACGCTCAGCCCCGAACTTCCGCTCCTCTCCTCGACAAACGCTTGGAAAATCTCCACGACGCTGCAACAAATTGCAAACAAACGTACTAGTTAGTTTCTTCTACTTCTAATACTAGTTAGTTTATATTTTTAACGCAGAAATAGGATGTTTAATTTATACACTTTGTAATTTCTCGATATTTTTCTTTCTAATTACTATTAGACTTCTAATCCAGGTTTATACATTTTAATAATAGTTTGCTTGAATTGTTTTCACTAATTTGTAGAAACATACAAAACTTACAAGTGTCCTTAAATTATATTTAAAAAGTATGTATTATTAGGACGTTTCAGGACACGTATGAATGAAGAATATTTTGAAATTAATTTTTCTCGTTAACGAAATAGGATGTTTAATTTATACACTTTGTAATTTCTCGATATTTTTCTTTCTAATTTTTATTAGACTTCCAATCCAGGTTTATACATTTTAATAATAGCTTGGTAATTGTTTTCACTGATTTTTAGAAACGTACAAAACAGGTGTCTTAAATTTTAAATTATATTTAAAAAATACGTGTTATTAAGATGCATCAGGACACGTATGAATGAAAAATATTTTGAAATTTATTTTTCTCGTTAATTTATACACTTTGTAATTTCTCGATATTTTTCTTTCTAATTTTTATTAGACTTCCAATCCAGGTTTATACATTTTAATAATAGCTTGGTAATTGTTTTCACTGATTTTTAGAAACGTACAAAACAAGTGTCTTAAATTTTAAATAATATTTAAAAAATACGTGTTATTAAGATGCATCAGGACACGTATGAATGAAAAATATTTTGAAATTTATTTTTCTCGTTAATTTATACACTTTGTAATTTCTCGATATTTTTCTTTCTAATTTTTATTAGACTTCTAATTCAGGTTTATACATTTTAATAATAGCTTGGTAATTGTTTTCACTGATTTTTAGAAACATACAAAACAAGTGTCTTAAATTTTAAATTATATTTAAAAAATACGTGTTATTAAGATGCATCAGGACACGTATGAATGAAAAATATTTTGAAATTTATTTTTCTCGTTAATTTATACACTTTGTAATTTCTCGATATTTTTCTTTCTAATTTTTATTAGACTTCTAATTCAGGTTTATACATTTTAATAATAGCTTGGTAATTGTTTTCACTGATTTTTAGAAACGTACAAAACAAGTGTCTTAAATTTTAAATTATATTTAAAAAATACGTGTTATTAAGATGCATCAGGACACGTATGAATGAAAAATATTTTGAAATTTATTTTTCTCGTTAATTTATACACTTTGTAATTTCTGGATATTTTTCTTTCTAATTTTTATTAGACTTCCAATCCAGGTTTATACATTTTAATAATAGCTTGGTAATTGTTTTCACTGATTTTTAGAAACGTACAAAACAAGTGTCTTAAATTTTAAATAATATTTAAAAAATACGTGTTATTAAGATGCATCAGGACACGTATGAATGAAAAATATTTTGAAATTTATTTTTCTCGTTAATTTATACACTTTGTAATTTCTGGATATTTTTCTTTCTAATTTTTATTAGACTTCCAATCCAGGTTTATACATTTTAATAATAGCTTGGTAATTGTTTTCACTGATTTTTAGAAACGTACAAAACAAGTGTCTTAAATTTTAAATAATATTTAAAAAATACGTATTATTAAGATGCATCAGGACACGTATGAATGAAAAATATTTTGAAATTTATTTTTCTCGTTAATTTATACACTTTGTAATTTCTCGATATTTTTCTTTCTAATTTTTATTAGACTTCCAATCCAGGTTTATACATTTTAATAATAGCTTGGTAATTGTTTTCACTGATTTTTAGAAACGTACAAAACAAGTGTCTTAAATTTTAAATAATATTTAAAAAATACGTGTTATTAAGATGCATCAGGACACGTATGAATGAAAAATATTTTGAAATTTATTTTTATCGTTAATTTATACACTTTGTAATTTCTCGATATTTTTCTTTCTAATTTTTATTAGACTTCCAATCCAGGTTTATACATTTTAATAATAGCTTGGTAATTGTTTTCACTGATTTTTAGGAACGTACAAAACAAGTGTCTTAAATTTTAAATTATATTTAAAAAATACGTGTTATTAAGATGCATCAGGACACGTATGAATGAAAAATATTTTGAAATTTATTTTTCTCGTTAATTTATACACTTTGTAATTTCTCGATATTTTTCTTTCTAATTTTTATTAGACTTCCAATCCAGGTTTATACATTTTAATAATAGCTTGGTAATTGTTTTCACTGATTTTTAGAAACGTACAAAACAAGTGTCTTAAATTTTAAATTATATTTAAAAAATACGTGTTATTAAGATGCATCAGGACACGTATGAATGAAAAATATTTTGAAATTTATTTTTATCGTTAATTTATACACTTTGTAATTTCTCGATATTTTTCTTTCTAATTTTTATTAGACTTCCAATCCAGGTTTATACATTTTAATAATAGCTTGGTAATTGTTTTCACTGATTTTTAGAAACGTACAAAACAAGTGTCTTAAATTTTAAATTATATTTAAAAAATACGTGTTATTAAGATGCATCAGGACACGTATGAATGAAAAATGTTTTGAAATTTATTTTTCTCGTTAACGAAAGTTGGAGTATTTTTTAAATTTGTTAATATACCTGAGGACCACGACGACCCCGTCGAAGACATTGAATCCGTTGCTGATATAACCGAACGGACCCTCCGCTATTATCTTGAGTAACATTTCCACAGCGAAAACGGCCGAAAACACAACATTGCTTATTTCAACCACTATGGTTAATTGCTCGGGCTGTTGACCAACGAACAGAAAAAGAATAACACACTCGACACGTGTATTCGAAACAACGAAACGGTCGATCTACTCCTAACAATAGCAAGATGTAATATATAAAGCATTCCAGTAACTTTTAACACATTAATTGATATTCAAAGATATAGCAGTTAAAGACAAATTTTTTTCTCTTCATGATGTGCTTCATTTTTGTCTGTATTTATTATTTATTAATGACAATTGAAAAGATATCAAAATTCACATTTAAAACATCTTCTTTTCGATAAATTTTTTCTAAAACTGCTAGAGACATCGGAACTAATCATGATGCTAATAGTTATCGGAGCACTGTGCATAGAATACAATAGAACGTCGATTATCAGAATAGAAAATGAAGCATCACGAAAAAGAATGGTGTGGAGTCGATAGAGAAGTTTTAGAGACAGTTTGTAGTCTAACACAGTATAATGGTGGATCCACGATTGTAGAAATTAGAAATTGTGAATCGAAGCTATTAGAATTTAGAAATAAAAAATATCCCTTTCACGAGAAAAGTAACAGTTTGCTAAATTGAATTTTATTGTTTGAATAATCGACGTGCTAGTGTTTGGTGGTAGGCGTGAACATGAATACTGACCTGATTGTGATATTCTATGCCCATGCTCAAAGTATTGATCAAAATTGCCACTAAAATACCCTGTTGAAAGTATTTGTGTTCGACCAGCTTCTTGATCGAGCGTCTTATGCATCGTACCACGCTGATACAACGATATCCGCATGATCTTAGAAACCTTTTCGCGCGCGACGAGTTCGCCCACTTGTCGCCCTCGTCTGGCCATTGATCAGTGCCGCCCTGCAGTTCGCAGCAACAGGAACAATTATCAATATCCGTCGCCAGCCATTGTGTACGATCCTCCAGAGTAATATGTCGATCCCTTATGCCTAAAATAAACGATAACGCGTGTGCTTTCAAAATTGCCCCGTTCTATTCAACCACGATCAAATTTTTCACGAGAGAAGTGTGTAATACGGTATTAACAAACGAAGTTATTTACACAACCTGATGATCTTAATCTAGCAGTTATTAACAAGTTTTTTGATTTATCAGTGCTGAAAGAGGGAAGGGAGTTTGTACCTTTCGTTAGAGAATTCAGAAAGGAATCCAATGCCAGCTGGCCTGTTGGCAGTGCAGCACTTAGGGCACCGCTTAGCGCCAGTAATTCCTGACAGGTCATAGCTTCGCTTCCACCCAGCTCGGCCTGCATCTGCGGTGACACGTGTGTATGACATGTTGCGAATCCAACGGACGTTTGCGGCCAGAGGCGTTTTAATACAGTCAAAATCAACTGGCTCTTCAAGGCCAGGAAGGATTTATTCCCATTATAATACACGACTCGATTCGTAAATTCATTTGCAAATTAAAATAGAAATTAAATAGAATCTTTTAAAGCCATCCAAGACGAGAATCCTGTATGATTTGAGCAAATAATATAACTCATTGTCCAACTATTTAAACTGTAAATAGACTTTCACGAAGGAATTTATTTGTAAATTAAAATAGAAATTAAAACGAATCTTTTAAAGCAATATCCAAGATGAGAATCCTGTATGATTTGAGCAAATAATAAAACTCATTGTCCAACTATTTAAACTGTAAATAGACTTTCAGAAAGGAATTTATTTGTAAATTAAAATAGAAATTAAAATGAATCTTTTAAAGCAATATCCAAGATGAGAATCCTGTATAATTTGAGCAAATAATAAAACTCATTGTCCAACTATTTAAACTGTAAATAGACTTTCACGAAGGAATTAATTTGTAAATTAAAATAGAAATTAAAATGAATCTTTTAAAGCAATATCCAAGATGAGAATCCTGTATGATTTGAGCAAATAATAAAACTCATTGTCCAGGTATTTAAACTGACTGTAAATAGACTTTTGCAAAGTACGAACGAAAAATCTTGGTTCACATTTCGTTCGTAATTTCATTTGTAAATTAAGATATCCAAAAGGAGAATTCACGAGATTTATAATAATAAAACTCATTGTCCAACTATTTAAATTGACTGTAAATAGACTTTTGCAAAGAATGAACGAAAAATCTTAATTCACATTTCGTTCGTAATTTCATTTGTAAATTAAGATATCCAAAACGAGAATTCACGAGATTTATAATAATAAAACTCATTATCTAACTATTTAAACTGACTGTAAATAGACTTTTGCAAAGAACGAACGAAAAGTCTTGGTTCACATTTCGTTCGTAATTTCATTTGTAAATTAAGATATCCAAAAGGAGAATTCACGAGATTTATAATAATAAAACTCATTATCTAACTATTTAAACTGACTGTAAATAGACGTTCGCATAAACGAGCGGAAACGGAGGCTAGAGGAGTGGAGTTAGTCCGGGGATGGTCGCGTTTTCATTCCAGGAATCGACCTTTTGTATTTCGGGCTGAAACCTAACCGTGCTCGAATCGTCAGACATGCAAAGCGAGAACGAGATACACGAGTGAGTGCATCGTCGAACATGTCTGGTATTACATATGCTGGGTCGACGAGTTTAAAACGGTTCCGCGTGACAGCCACTAAAGGCTGATTCGCACTACGGATCAACGTCAACTCGAACACGACAAATATTCTTCTGTAAACACCGAGACTACCGTTTTGACACTGGAAATTCAAATACAGGGTTTATGAGAGCGATGGAACCTCTCAGGCGCCATGACCGCCATATTTCTGATTCGCTTATGCCACGCGAGAATGTTCGAGGATTAATTTCCACCCCTGAAAGCAAATTTCAGCAGCAAACTAAATTATCTACGTTTCTACGTATGTCATATAGGTCCATTAAAGTTTCAAAAGTTTTTAAGCTTCTACTTTGGGGATCATCCCTTATTAGTCGAGCACATACATGAATAACTGAGAATAATCTCTGAACCGATTAGAGAGAAAGAAAATAAATGCACAAACTGAATATAATTTTATTCGTCTAAAAACTGTGACTCCTTTTTTTTAAAAAAGAATTATCAAAACCTAATAGTTCGATAGTTGTTTTACCTAAAGTTTACTAAATTATTTCCGTGTATCTTTGTAACATTCTCGTGTACCGTTACGCGTAAGAATGTAAACACGAGTTTACGTCTAATATCGATCAGAGCAAGATTAACTTTCTCGTTGATAACTCCGGGGTGCCTTTGACGATCAACCCTTTGACGACAGCTTAATAATTGACCTTCTGTTCCCGAAGGCAGTAAAAGTTAAAACCGTCAGCACCACCCACGTTAAGTTCTTTTTTCATCGCTAAATATCATTTGTCGCCAATTCCATTCGCCCGGAGATGTTTTTCTTTTTCAGAAACGCTAGTGCACTTTAATACCGGTCTGCCGAACGCAGATGTTTCCTGCAATTCTGTTTTATATGTTTACACTGTCGTAAAACTCGTGTATTTTTCGGCGCAGGTTGCAATGTATTTTCTGCAATTTGCCTAACGATCGTCTTTGAAGTCGATGTCAACCTTAAAATTACCTATAGTCAAGACTCTGTTTTTATACCCTAATTAAAAAAAGAAAAACTGTGTATTAATAATCTTTTATCAATGTCAATGGTAGCAAAGGGGATCTTCAGCGGCCCACAAAACCGGTAATACCTTCATTCAGAAAGAAATTATAATTTATGGCAGCTCTTATTACATCCGACTAATGCCTCTCACCGTGTAATTTACCTGAATCCACGGTGAACCGTGGCAATTTGCCTTAATTACATCATTTCGTAGCATCTGTCGGTTGAGATAGCCTAATCGGGCGGAAAAGGATCGCAGAACAAGGGTATATTTTCAAATTTATTCATAGGAGCAAATTGACTCGACTTGAATTGAACTTGACTCATGAAAATTCCTAACTTCGATTAAAGTTTAATTTAAAGTTACAGAAAGGATTGATATCATTAAAAAAGTAATGTTTTACAGTCATTTCGTTCGCGTTGGGACTGATTTATGCTTCTAATTTCGAAGGATATTTAAAGTACGGTTCCCTTGTCGAATTCGAGTGGTTTGAAAGAGAGATTCATAGCCAAAGAAGCAGCCATTTGATTCGAATTGAACTTGACTCATGAAAATTCCTAATATCGATTAAAGTTTAATTTAAAGTTACAGAAAGGATTGATATTATTAAAATAGTAATGTTTTACAGTCATTTCGTTCGCGTTGGGACTGATTTATGCTTCTAATTTCGAAGGATATTTAAAGTACGGTTCCCTTGTCGAATTCGAGTGGTTTGAAAGAGAGATTCATAGCCAAAGAAGCAGCCATTTGATTCGAATTGAACTTGACTCATGAAAATTCCTAATATCGATTAAAGTTTAATTTAAAGTTACAGAAAGGATTGATATTATTAAAAAAGTAATGTTTTACAGTAATTTCGTTCCCGTTGGGACTGATTTATGCTTCTAATTTCGAAAGATATTTAAAGTACGGTTCCCTTGTCGAATTCGAGTGGTCTGAAAGAGAGATTCATAGCCAAAGAAGCAGCCAGTTGATTCGAATTGAACTTGACTCATGAAAATTCCTAATATCGATTAAAGTTTAATTTAAAGTTACAGAAAGGATTGATATCATTAAAAAAGTAATGTTTTACAGTCATTTCGTTCGCGTTGGGACTGATTTATGCTTCTAATTTCGAAGGATATTTAAAGTACGGTTCCCTTGTCGAATTCGAGTGGTTTGAAAGAGAGATTCATAGCCAAAGAAGCAGTCAGTTGATTCGAATTGAACTTGACTCATGAAAATTCCTAACTTCGATTAAAGTTTAATTTCAAGTCACAGAAAGGATTGATATTATTAAAAAAGTAATGTTTTACAGTAATTTCATTCGCGTTGGGACTGATTTATGCTCCTAATTTCGAAGGATATTTAAAGTACGGTTTCCTTGTCGAATTCGAGTGGTCTGAAAGAGAGATTCATAGCCAAAGAAGCAGCCAGTTGATTCGAATTGAACTTGACTCATGAAAATTCCTAATATCGATTCAAGTTTAATTTAAAGTTACAGAAAGGATTGATATCATTAAAAAAGTAATGTTTTACAGTCATTTCGTTCGCGTTGGGACTGATTTATGCTTCTAATTTCGAAGGATATTTAAAGTACGGTTCCCTTGTCGAATTCGAGTGGTTTGAAAGAGAGATTCATAGCCAAAGAAGCAGTCAGTTGATTCGAATTGAACTTGACTCATGAAAATTCCTAACTTCGATTAAAGTTTAATTTCAAGTCACAGAAAGGATTGATATTATTAAAAAAGTAATGTTTTACAGTAATTTCATTCGCGTTGGGACTGATTTATGCTCCTAATTTCGAAGGATATTTAAAGTACGGTTTCCTTGTCGAATTCGAGTGGTCTGAAAGAGAGATTCATAGCCAAAGAAGCAGCCAGTTGATTCGAATTGAACTTGACTCATGAAAATTCCTAATATCGATTCAAGTTTAATTTAAAGTTACAGAAAGGATTGATATCATTAAAAAAGTAATGTTTTACAGTAATTTCATTCGCGTTGGGACTGATTTATGCTTCTAATTTCGAAGGATATTTAAAGTACGGTTCCCTTGTCGAATTCGAGTGGTTTGAAAGAGAGATTCATAGCCAAAGAAGCAGCCAGTTGACTTGAATTGAACTTGACTCATGAAAATTCCTAATATCGATTAAAGTTTAATTCAAAGTTACAGAAAGGATTGATATTATTAAAAAGGTAATGTTTTACAGTCATTTCGTTCGCATTGGGACTGATTTATGCTTCTAATTTCGAAGGATATTTAAAGTACGGTTTCCTTGTCGAATTCGAGTGGTCTGAAAGAGAGATTCATAGCCAAAGAAGCAGCCAGTTGACTTGAATTGAACTTGACTCATGAAAATTCCTAATATCGATTAAAGTTTAATTCAAAGTTACAGAAAGGATTGATATTATTAAAAAGGTAATGTTTTACAGTCATTTCGTTCGCATTGAGACTGATTTATGCTTCTAATTTCGAAGGATATTTAAAGTACGGTTCCCTTGTCGAATTCGAGTGGTCTGAAAGAGAGATTCATAGCCAAAGAAGCAGCCAGTTGACTTGAATTGAACTTGACTCATGAAAATTCCTAATATCGATTAAAGTTTAATTCAAAGTTACAGAAAGGATTGATATTATTAAAAAGGTAATGTTTTACAGTCATTTCGTTCGCATTGGGACTGATTTATGCTTCTAATTTCGAAGGATATTTAAAGTACGGTTTCCTTGTCGAATTCGAGTGGTCTGAAAGAGAGATTCATAGCCAAAGAAGCAGCCAGTTGACTTGAATTGAACTTGACTCATGAAAATTCCTAATATCGATTAAAGTTTAATTTAAAGTTACAGAAAGGATTGATATTATTAAAAAAGTAATGTTTTACAGTCATTTCGTTCGCATTGGGACTGATTTATGCTTCTAATTTCGAAGGATATTTAAAGTACGGTTTCCTTGTCGAATTCGAGTGGTCTGAAAGAGAGATTCATAGCCAAAGAAGCAGCCAGTTGATTCGAATTGAACTTGACTCATGAAAATTCCTAATATCGATTAAAGTTTAATTTAAAGTTACAGAAAGGATTGATATCATTAAAAAAGTAATGTTTTACAGTCATTTCGTTCGCGTTGGGACTGATTTATGCTTCTAATTTCGAAGGATATTTAAAGTACGGTTCCCTTGTCGAATTCGAGTGGTTTGAAAGAGAGATTCATAGCCAAAGAAGCAGTCAGTTGATTCGAATTGAACTTGACTCATGAAAATTCCTAACTTCGATTAAAGTTTAATTTCAAGTCACAGAAAGGATTGATATTATTAAAAAAGTAATGTTTTACAGTAATTTCATTCGCGTTGGGACTGATTTATGCTTCTAATTTCGAAGGATATTTAAAGTACGGTTCCCTTGTCGAATTCGAGTGGTTTGAAAGAGAGATTCATAGCCAAAGAAGCAGCCAGTTGACTTGAATTGAACTTGACTCATGAAAATTCCTAATATCGATTAAAGTTTAATTCAAAGTTACAGAAAGGATTGATATCATTAAAAAAGTAATGTTTTACAGTCATTTCGTTCGCGTTGGGACTGATTTATGCTTCTAATTTCGAAGGATATTTAAAGTACGGTTTCCTTGTCGAATTCGAGTGGTCTGAAAGAGAGATTCATAGCCAAAGAAGCAGCCAGTTGATTCGAATTGAACTTGACTCATGAAAATTCCTAATATCGATTAAAGTTTAATTTAAAGTTACAGAAAGGATTGATATTATTAAAAAAGTAATGTTTTACAGTCATTTCGTTCGCATTGGGACTGATTTATGCTTCTAATTTCGAAGGATATTTAAAGTACGGTTTCCTTGTCGAATTCGAGTGGTTTGAAAGAGAGATTCATAGCCAAAGAAGCAGCCATTTGATTCGAATTGAACTTGACTCATGAAAATTCCTAATATCGATTAAAGTTTAATTTAAAGTTACAGAAAGGATTGATATTATTAAAAAAGTAATGTTTTACAGTCATTTCGTTCGCATTGGGACTGATTTATGCTTCTAATTTCGAAGGATATTTAAAGTACGGTTCCCTTGTCGAACAGAGAAGCGAATTCGAGTGGTTTGAAAGAGAGATTCATAGCCAAAGAAGCAGCCAGTTGATTTTGTTCCAATTGCACTACTCGACAAGTTTGAAAAGTTCTTTGTGGAAGTGGCCTCGCCGGGACGGGGTGAGTAGGTGCGAAAAGATCGAGTTTTCAACCTTTCCCGTGAAAGATTTCACGTCGCGCTGCATAATATTAAATCTCCAACTTTTTATTCGTTTAAATCAGGGAACTTGGTGCACGAATCGATCTAAACTTTCCGTTTTTTATACGCGAATAAAATTTGCCTCTCTTTGTTTCATAGAAGCATCGAGTAAAGAACGACTCGCGAAGTAACGTCGTCGAAAACTGATTGGAAGTAGTTTTGATGCATATTAATTGTTAACAGTAGAATGTACCTGTATGTGATCAGCCAGTGGACTCGACCAGACATTACCGTCGCCAGTCTGTGTTGTTTTCTCGCTGGAACACACGTTGCGTTCACCAGGTGAGACCATCGAAGTAGTTTGCAACGCGTTTCCAACATTGTTGCTCCCGTGCAGCAACACCACGTCGCTGAACATCACGCTGCTTCTTCTGCGATAGTGTGTGCAAGGCGGACTGAGCAGAGCGTTGTTTGTCTGGAAATTTAACATATATCGTTGTTTACTATTTACGCGCGTCAGGTCATTCACCTCGCGTTAAACGTAAACAAAGCTTTGAAACCTTATATCTCCATAAAAATATCGAACAATGACAAAGGGAAGAAGAACCTCTGTTTTTGATAAATAAATTTTTCAGAGTTCTGCTGACTGGTGATTAAGTCTTCTCTATAGGCTAACCTATTCTACTTCAAGGCTTCGTAACTATGTAATTATTAATATTTGTGTTGCAGATATACCTGTATGCTCGCCTCGGTCGCGTTGGAGAGGATGTTGTCGCTTCCATTGCAAGACACGGAGGAAGTTCGATGAAGTGCCATACGATGGCACACGTTTGTTGACACGTCTGCTTCGGAAACTTCAGGGCTCGCGCGTGGCGCAATGGCCAAGTTTCCATTGCTACCACCGTTATTGGCAATGGCTGTGCCAGGAATTCCACCCTGAGGGCTGGTCGCTGTGAAGTCTGGAAACGATCCACCGCCGCTACCGATCCCCTGCTGTTGTTCCGCGTACTCGATCGCTGCCAAAAGCCGTGGACATCTTCCGTGATGGAGTCTCCTGTCTGCTAAGCGATCGTCAAGTTTAGACAAGTTCTCCCAAAGCTCTTCTAACTTGCTATTTCAACACACGAAGTTGCTATGTCCTGAAGAAGAGACTTCAGGAAAGCTCAAGTAATTGTACTCATTATCAACAGAGTAATTTATAGTTATTACTTCTTTATCTCGTGACTTTAATCTCTATCGAGTCAAGTAACTATCATCCATGGTTTTCAAGTAGTAAAAAAATGATACTTGATTATATATAAAAGCTCTTCAGCACAGGAATTTACTATAATTCCCTGAAGAAGAGGCCTTCAAAGTGGACTGGAAATTCGCTCAAGTAACTGTACTTCATTATCAACAGAGTAATTTATAGTTATTATCTCTTTAATCTCTATCGAGTCAAGTAACTATCATCCATGGTTTTCAAGTAGTAAAAAAATGATACTTGATTATATATAAAAGCTCTTCAGCACAGGAATTTACTATAATTTCCTGAAGAAGAGGCCTTCAAAGTGGACTGGAAATTCGCTCAAGCAACTGTACTCTTTATCAACAGAGTAATTCATAGTTATTATCTCTTTAATCTCTATCGAGTCAAATAACTATCATCCATGGTTTTCAAGTAGTAAAAAAATGATACTTGATTATATATAAGGTGCATCCAAGTTTATTAAGATCATGTTGTAGAACTGGTGTCATAAGCGTCAGTATTAGGTAAGGTCAGTAATTCAGACGTAATTTCGAGTAACACTTATTTCAGAATACTCGGTACCCAAACGAAAATACAATACCGCAGAGCAATCCTATTTGGAGAGTATGAAACACTTTACCTCCAGGTAATCTATTTGAACCAGAGCCGGCTGCGCTTCCTCGGAACGGATGTCCGTGCTGTTGCTGTTCCTTAAGTAAATTCTGCTCGCGTTTCTGCTGCTTTTTGTATAAATATAGTCGGTACCTCTTCATTAGTCTCCTCTTTCCTCGTCGCCACAGGTGCGCGATATATCTGAGAACACGTGGCAAGAGTGTATGGGAAACGGAAGCGATGAATGACAATTTTAAACGTCGCTGCCCAATTAGAAAGTCGATGCTAAACGGGCTCCTCGTCGTTCTTCAATTTAACGTTGAATTTCATTATGTTACGTGCACGTTTAACCAATTCGTTTGAAAGAATCGTTGACCCGCGCTTTAAAAAAGAATATTACGCGAAATTCTATCCGCTAACTCTAATTATAATGTTATGATTGTCTAGCAAAACTGGAAGCAGAATTATTATTTTTTTTTTCGTGGGAAATTCAGTCTTGATCGTTTCTATCTATCGTATAAAAACGAAACATATTCGCTTGTTTTTCAAATTGCAAACAACTCGTATTTTGATGAAGAATATGTGGAAATTTCAGAAATATTCGAAAAACTATTCCTTCACCCCAAAATGAGAAAAAACTCAATAAAAATGATCCAATATTCAAACAGCCATAACTCCTACAATAGTCAATATATTTAATTGAAATTTTTAGGAGAAATAGAGTTCATGGATACCTACAAATAAGTATAACACAACTTTTCTGTAGAGCGTCAAACAAAATTACTAAAAATAGAAAAATATTAATTGTTTCGAATGGGCCATTATCGTCTGGTTTAAAGTTGACTTTAAAGTTGCCTGAGACATTTTTACTGTCAGAAAAATAGCAATTGTCACGTTTATATTCGCGTATCTGAGAGATAAAATTCAGAAATGAAAATATGTGTATATGGTAGGTGCATTGCCAGGAGGGCGCAAAAATAAGCCAAAGAAAATCAATATCTTACTAAAATTATGCTGTTCCATTGACGGGGAATTGTACATTTTTAGATATCTTCCCTTTTATCTTCTCACTTTTGTTTGCTATGTTTAGCACCGAACGCCAATACGTTATTTAACACGGACTGAAATTTTCCATTCAGAGCGTGATCCATTCACCTTGCCAAATGTATTTACAACTAATTTTCACGATAAAATTATACAAATTATGTCGTTTCTGCAATTCAGGCATAAATGCGTGATGCATGTGTTTTATTATATGGCAAAACAACGGGGAATGGATATTAACGAAAAGCAGCTTATGTTAAAAGCGATTTGAGTCTTTGGAAACGACATTAATGCAATTTAATAACTCCAAATGGGTTCGCTGATGAAAGAAATCCGGTAAATTTAATACCACCAACTCCCGCACGATTAATCAAGCGTTTTCTAAATGTTCGAGCTTTTATGACGACCACAAAAATTTAAATAATAAATGCTTTGCGATTCGAACAAAAGAGAACAAAACGCTTTTATTTTTGTAACCCAAAGCTTTAAAGTAAACCGGTATTCTCGTGCTATAAATACGACTGAAAATAAATTTTCGAACAGTGTCAGTACACGCTATAAATAAGAGTAAGAAAATACATAGAGATAAATCAGAAAGTGTTTCATTAATAAATAATAACAGGAAACATACAGTTTATTGGCAAACGTGGTCGACATTTTTAAACGAAAAACTAAGGGAATTTATTATCTCCATCTTTTTGTTGAAACTTTCGAACGTGTTGACTGCCAAAGCCGATTTCATGGAACTTTTCCTGGGCACCGGTCCAAGGTGTCTTCATAATTTATACTTTTAACCCGATGCTTTCATTTCGACCAATTTGGCCAGAAATGTCCGCGGAGACCGCGATTTTTGACACCCGTTATAAACAAGATATTGTGAAAAAGATGTCAAACTGTTCTTGAAACTGTTTTTTTCCAAAAAAGATAAGAATCGAAATGATCGATCAAAGTTTTTGCGTTTCATGAAAAATCCGTGTTTCGTTTACAATACAATGGTGTATTTATTTGTACCAAAGAGATTCAAACGATGAATATTTGAAGAAATATACGTATTTCTTTAAATAGAAAAGGTTTGTTCAATTTTAAAATGATAAAGCTTGTATGAGAAATGATGGGGATAACCGTGCGACAGTTTGAAGGACAGTACTCACTTAACAATTTCTGCGTAGCATGTGGTTGGTTCCGAAGTGTTCGTCGAGGATGCAAGGGTTGACGTGGAATGAAAACGAGCACGCTCCAAACGCATTCGTTCCATTTCCCGTTTTTTCGTTTCTGAGAATTGAGTTGCTATCACGACTAAGCACAGATTTATCATGAAGAAGGAGCCAATCTGTAAATCAAACGCATCTCCTTTTTATCGACGTCTCTAGCATCGAAAGATCGTTTTTTTTCTGAGAATTTTATAAATCGTAAACGAATAATTTTCACCCACCTTTGACGTTCATTTTAATTTTGCTTCTAATAATACTGTGTTACGAAATGTTAGTTTCCATGGAGTACTTATTACCCAAATAAACTTAAATTCTGATATATCAATAACAAATACTACAATAGCACGCGAATAGGAATCGTAGTTATTTGTTTTAAGGAAAGTTTAAAAGTGGTTTATGCGGAAACAGATGTTCCCCGGTAAATTGAAGCCTCCAATGCTAGAGAACTTTACTTGAATACCATTTTGGCAAATTAGTTGGTAAAAAATATCCTTTTCAAACAGTTCGAGCTATCTTTTGTTTAGAAATCTTCAATTTCTATTGATTTATTTTTAATCCTGTCGAATCGACGGGTTACGTGAGTCTGATGTTAACGTAGAACAAATAATGAAAGATCGATCGTTTGTTATGTAAGTTGTAAACGTACCACAATTAATAGAACGAAGTATATCCAATCCCAAAAGGAATGGGCATCCTGCACGTAATACATTATGTCTGTCCATCCTTCCAGACTGATTACCTATAGCAATAATATCATTTTACTGATTTTATCGAAATGTTGATAAAATTAAAAATAATTTGAATGGTCTATTGACTCTGCGATTAATCGAGCAATCTGGCTATTATCAACCCTCAGCCAGCGGACTGAAAAATTCATTTTATAGTACCATTATAATCTTAAATATTCCCTTGAAAATTTTATTGCAATTCCTTGAATTTTTCAACGATTAACCCTTTGACTGCTAAAGGCGTGTATATACGCTTTCACAAGTCTATCAGTACATACGAAAGACGTAAATATACGCCCTCACATATCCATCAACATATACGAAAAGCGTAAATTTATACCCTCTGCATTTTTTTTACTATAACACCTTTTACTGTTTTACCAATTGATTCGACATGGAATTGGATAAAAATTGGATATTTTAATTTATTTGCATTTATTATTTTTTTAAACTGTAAGAATGGTCTCTTAAATCTCCAGGTACTTTTTTGGTCACCAGTCGCAGCGACAGGCGTGTGACGATCGCGCCATCTATGTTGATGGATTCTTCCTAGGACGCGCCGCAGTCAAAAGGTTAATCATCTTTCGATCGATTTAAAGTCCGCTGTCCAAGGATTAGATAGTCGAATAATAAAAAAAAATTATTCTGCTACACCGATAGTCTGATAAATATTTTAAAAGCTATCTAGAGATTTTGGTATTTGATAGTTTGGTTTTGAGAATGGGACAAAAGTAGGACACTCACAAGAAATATTGCGACCCAAGCAAGACCGATATTATCGAACGATATTGTTCCTTGGAATGGATTGTTACCCTGACCCTTGCACTCCGTATAATAGTAATTCCAATTAACGCAGGTGTCGTTGGTGATAAACGTTGCGTTATTGTTCGGCAACGCAGTGTTGTTGCAAATCACGTTCCCTAAAAGCGAGAATACTTGAATAGCCAACTGCAATGTAGTCACTCTAAGATAGAAGTAGAATATCGATTATCGGAACGTCGATTAACGTTTCGAGAGTCTGATTATCGGAGAAACAGTGTCCTTCTGGCCTACTCGTAAAATATTTTAATTAAAAAACAGAGTCAATTTCCTCTTAACGTATGCGCAGTACTATTAATACGATAACCGCGTTCGATAACAAATGTTCGACCTTTTTGTTCGCGTCCCCCATCGGATTATACGATAACTCGTTTATTGGAAACGGTTTTATATGCTGGTATTGTTTCCGATAATCGACGTTCGACTATTTACGCTGTTAATAATTGTCCTCCATCAGCTCTGGTACCGATCAAGATGATTGCTCAAAGGAAAAGGTGTCAGAGACGCAAGAATTAACGAGAAACGACGAAACACAGCCACTGCACATGCGCAGAACTACTTTAGAGACTCTGAACTAGAGTGGGGAGCCAATCAGAACCGCATTCCTTTCGATAGCAAACTTCTCACGAACGCACAGTACTTGCGTCTCATCGTTTCGCTCGTAAAAGGGGAAACTACTAGTTTCTGGCGAAGATTTCGACTTCTAGTATCACACACGCATAAGAACTTGTATTTTATTAAATGGCTGAGTGACTGAATTGATTTTTCAAGCAAAAATCCAAAAGAAACCGAGTTAAGAAATATAAAGGAAGGGACCACCAGCGTTTTGGTGCAAATACTAATTTCTAAGTCGTCGAGTTAATTTAAAACGAATACAAAGAAGCGCCCAGTGGCATCGCGACGCAAGAATTAACGAGAAACGACGAAACACAGCCACTGCACATGCGCAGAACTACTTTAGAGAGTCTGAACTAGAGTGGGGAGCCAATCAGAACCGCATTCCTTTCGATAGCAAACTTCTCACGAACGCACAGTACTTGCGTCTCATCGTTTCGCTCGTAAAAGGGGAAACTACTAGTTTCTGGCGAAGATTTCGACTTCTAGTATCACACACGCATAAGAACTTGTATTTTATTAAATGGCTGAGTGACTGAATTGATTTTTCAAGTAAAAATCCAAAAGAAACCGAGTTAAGAAATATGATTTCGAGAGAAACGCGTTAAAGGAAGGGACCACCAGCGTTTTGGTGCAAATTCTAATTTCTAAGTCGTCGAGTAATTTATCGATGAAAAACAGTGGCATCGCGACGCAGTTTCTTCGAGCGTATCGAGCACGTTTAGAATAAGACCAGATCGACGGGACGATGAAAACGTCGAAGGAAAATCAAACTGGCTGTCAAAGCAGATCGAGTATAGCGATACCGGTGATTCGACGATCGTACAATGGTCCCTCGTGCATATTTATATTGCACGCGGGAGAAAAATAGATCGAAGATAGGGCGAAATGTTGTCCCGTAACGAAAATCGGCTCGATACGCTTCTGGGTGGACTTTAATTGAATAACTGCAAAATGTGTCACGGGTGGCAATCAAAGCATCGTCGCCTCGAGAGAATGAGTTGGTCTTAGAGTCTCTATCGAAGCGATATGAATTGTAGTCCTTGAACGGTAGATCGATATTGGGAACAGTGTCATTAAGTCAGCTTTCAACGAAAATAATTACGTCATGGCGGGGAAGATGGGGGGGGGCTTCGTCCTCGGACCACCGTTATTTTGGAAACGTACCAAACCGTGGCCAAATTGGTTCCCTATCCACGGGGTGTTTCGAAAACACGTCGGTTTCGTGCATTCCTTTTTTTTCCTAGAATCCTCTCGTCGCTCAAGAACATCGAAGTTGTACTCACCCAACTTGAGGGGCGGCAAGTTGCTACAAGAGTGCATTCCGTTGTCGTCGGGACGCGAGCAAATGTAGTCCTGACCTTGATATTCGAAGTACTTCTCGAGATCGCTGGAAAATCAATGGGGGCACGATTAAAATATATTTAAGCACGACCGTACGCGATCGCCGTTTCATCGAGTCGAGTTTCTTACAATTAAAAAGTTGCGTATGTATGTTTTATGCATGGATGCACCCGTCACATGCTTCGTTTATGCGTACACCGTGTATATGCAGCGTGTCTGACGATATATTACATCTAGAGGCTATATATATATATACATATGTATATGTATATATCTATACAGGCGGTTTCGGAATGGAAGAACAAGCAGAGATGCGAAAATTTCTCGCACGTTGAGAGAAATCGAAAAGGTTCTAATGAAGCTCTTGAATCCTTTAAATGCATCTCTAAGATTCTAGATTTTAGTTTTAACGCCGTGGAAATAAAAACAATTGTTAAAAGAATTCTTAAACACGGCCACGAGTTAATATTTACTTCAAAGGCTGGTTTCATGCGCGTTTCTCGCCAGCGATATTTGCAAGAGTTTCGATTCGACAGAAGCTGTTTTTAAATCAACATTTCATAAATGTTCAAACATTAGTTTTACCCGTTAAACAAACATATAAATATTGGTTTTATTAAATCATCACGGCTCGCCGATATCTGCGTAAACATCAAACGCAGTATCTTCGTGTGTTTCTTTATTCCCAGAGACTTTCGATGCAGACTATTTCTGAATCTACGGACGCTGAAGTTTCCGATTAATTGGTCCGAATTTCCACGTTATTAAACTCCAAACTGAAATTGGGATTTGAACAGCAATCGGATTCACATTCCTCTGTCCAGCCAACTTTTCAGTACAGTTCGATCTCTCGCACACGTGCACATGTGTCCATGACATTCTTACAGATCCGTATCTCGAAAACATCAGAAAGCAATACGTTAAAGAACTTTTCTATTTCTCCTTGCACGAGAGATTTACATGCTTTGACTCGTCCCATCGTTTCGAAATATCCTGTACATTTGGCTACGGGTGCTTGAAATTTTAAGGGCCGCTTCTATATGCCAAAATAACACGAAAATAAGGACAGAGTTGCTCCATTAAAATGACCAATTTCGAATAACTTCCAAATCTTGAACATTGTTACTTTCGATCTATTAACGAAGGAATATGCATGTATTCTTAATCTTCATCTTATTTTAGCATGTAAAATCACCCTTTGAAGGCTTCAACACCTGCAACAGAACACCCCTGTATATATGTATGCGATACACCTGCTATATCAAGTGTATAACAGAGTCACAAAACTATTCGTACCTCGTTGTTAACTTCAAACGATCCGAACATAGTAAAAGAAAATTGTTTCTGTTTCTCAAAATCATTTTTCACGATACGAATAGGAATATTCAAAATTTCTATATCTAGATTAACCGCTAAAGAAACATTATAGCCTCTTTATATGATTAATTTAATTGTAGAAATCGTATAATAATTAATTTCAACAAAAACGTCTCTTCTCATGCCACCAATTTTTGTACTTTTCTAATATTATTATTATCGTCTCGATACGAATAGGAATATTCAAAATTTCTATACCTAGATTAGCTGCTAAAGAAACATTATAGCCACCTTATGTGATTAATTTAATTGTATAAATCGTATAATAATTAATTTCAACAAGAATTATCGTCTCAATAGATATTTCTTTCAGAATGTACGAATCGTTGGAAGCGTAAAGATGGCGCGTTAATACATTCTCGATGGACTGTAGGTGTACATATACATACATATCGTATATACTATTATGCATATTCTCGTATGTTGTTGAAGTAAGAGTGCAGCAATCGACGATAAGGAAAAGAAGTATAGACGTATGTAAATATCGAGTTTGCGTGCACGCAGCCTGGCGTTGCATCAAAGAAAAACAATAAGAAAGGAAACTGCTAACGCCCCTTTAAGAATGCCGTTGTAGTGTCGCCTCCCGTGGATAAAAGAAAGTAAACGCCCTCCTTTGACTTCGAGGGTTGCTCTTATCAACGTGCTATTCATTCTCATCGTGTCATGTAGCGCGCTACCACTAAACAATGTCGGTTATCTCCACAAAAACACTTAATAGAGAGATGCAACCGATACCAACACGTATTTGTACACTCCTTGTTACTCTAACCCAACGTAAACAATTGCGTTACAATTATCGTATCGTCGCGACACCTTTTCGTTAATTTTAATACTTTATTCGTTAAACAATAATCCTCACGCGTGACTATAATTTGTCGCATTATACTTACTCAATTCTCTTCAAGAAGACAATTCTTACCAAATCACTGGGCAACACTCTTTTCAAGATACAAGAATTCATAAAAGTCTCTTTAATTTAAGATTTAATTGAACAATCATTAGAAAGTCTAAAACTATCCTCGCAACGTATTGTAAATTAATTTATTCTTGTTACGTTCACTAAGCGATAATGTTTTACTATGTAAAATCCACATCTGTAGTTCCTTAGATATTACATCGTTGTACTAAAGGGTTTAATTACCCGTTAATAAATGAATAATAATAATAATAATAATAATTTGCATTCAGTTTGGAAAAAAGAAAATTTTGTTTCTCCCAAGTCTACGAAAACTCTTCGATCCTGATTTTTTTTATTAATTCCGGCACAAAAATATAAGCTTGACAAACGAGAAGCTTTATATCCACGTTTCGTAGTTACAAATAGCTGAAAGTTTTATTTTTACTCCTTTTTGATCAATTAAAACCTTTAATTAGAGCTTACAACCGAAATTAACATAGATTTTTGACGTTGTAATTTACGTTAATCGTTGTCTATGTTAAAAATGTTCGATCCTGATTTTTATTATTAATTCGGGCACAAAAATATAAGCTTGACAAACGAGAAGCTTTATATCCACGTTTCGTAGTTACAAATAGCTGAAAGTTTTATTTTTACTCCTTTTTGATCAATTAAAACCTTTAATTAGAGTTTATAACCGAAATCAACATGGATTTTTGACGTCATAATTTACGTTAATCGTTGTCTACGTTAAAAATGTTCGATCCTGATTTTTATTATTAATTTCGGAACAAAAATATAAGCTTGACAAACGAGAAGCTTTATATCCACGTTTCGTAGTTACAAATAGCTGAAAATTTGATTTTTACTCCTTTTTGATCAATTAAAACCTTTAATTAGAGTTTATAACCGAAATCAACATAGATTTTTGACGTCATAATTTACGTTAATCGTTGTCTACGTTAAACACGTCGACAAAAAGTTTAAACCTCTTCGATGCAGCTCGGTACGCTTCGTTACTGTCGCAATTAACGTCGAGGCTTGTGCAAAGTTTACCAGCGACGCTGAAAGCAACGATTTTGCAGCAATGTCAACACGGAATCGAGGAACCGTGTTTTCCAGAGCACCCGGTTGCGTATCGATACGGAATTCGTGTTTGAAAAAAAACAGAGCGTTTGTTTCAGTCAACGAATTATTTAACAGCATTCCGACCGTGTGTATCGACACATCGCGAATTACGTTTCTATCCAGAAATTAAAACCATGCAAAAACCAGCGTCACAATTCGCCGTGAATAGTCTAATATCTAAAACATCGTAAGCGTCGAGTTCTCTCTAATTTTCTAACGCGATTAGTCGTTTCAGGCTACCCCCTAATGCACGTGCCCGCTCCTATAACACAGCTTAGCTAACTGCGGTAGCTCGTACTCAAAATCGTCCACCATCTTTGCCTTTTCAATGATAAGATCTGCTGAAAATTAAATATCATTCGAACAAACAATTTAGCCTTGTAAAAACAGCTGAAAGAATCATCTTCCTCCGGGGGGTTGATTTTTAAAACAATTTTCGAGGTCACGCGACAATTCTTTACAAATCAAACCGTGTAATTTAGTTTAGTAAATATTCCAGATGCATATTTATTGCACCGGTATAGTTAATTTAAATTGAGAGTGACAGAAGATCATTCTGATCTAAATAATAGAAACTGTTCGCTATATTTTGGATCAGATATAAGATCGTGTACAAAAAGAAACGTGTCCCAATTAAAAAAGTGAGCTCGAAACCTCACGAAATGTCAGGCCCGTATTAATTGCGATTATTCAATGAATAATCCAAGCCCCACCGAGCATGACACACTTTTCCTCAGACATTCTCTTGTAATATCGAAGCTGGGGCTGTTATTCGAAGCACAAAGTTACAGAGACAACCTATATACTGAGAAATTAGTAAAATCGATTGATAACAAGCACGGAGAAACGTCCAGTTTATATTTTCTTACGCACGTATATAAATATTTATAAACGTTTCGCCTGTCGTTAATAATTCCGTAAAATTTCTTGCGTCGTACGATGTAGGAATAATAATTTCTCTATCGACCGTAAAGGTGTCTTAATTATCTGTACATAGAGTACTTTATCGATGCGTTAGCATGACTGCTGGACGATGTTCAGTGTGAGCGACTGTATTGTGCTTTTTTGCGGTGCGCTGATCGTGCTTCTCGTTCGAAAATACAGCTAATCGACGCCTAATGTGACCGTCGTTGCATCGAATGCGTTTTGCTAGTGCGAGTGCTGGATCTTGCTTAATCGTGCGTTCGTGCGTGTCGTGATTCAACAATCATATTTTACAGTCGCAACTCTTACGAGCTGACCCATTTCGATATCGAGAAAGCTTGTACCCTCTCGAAATTCCTGGAAAGCAGAGCGTAAAGTTACGCGGCCCAATAAACGGTACGGAGTTTGAAACCGCCGCAACGTTTTCACGGTTTTCTACATCATTGGACCACGTTCGGTTCAATTCTGTCAGTCCTACTTTCGGAAGTTGCGTTACCAGCGACTATACAGGGTGTCATACTCAACTGGGAAAAGCTACACATGTCTTGATCGAGGATTCGTTAAAAAGTTATTAAAAAATTGAATTAAAAATTTTCAAATCATTTTGGAAAAATTATTTTCCGTTGCGGGGGTCGATTACAATCATTTTTGGTGGATAGACATACCCCCGAAATCCTACTCAGTTTCGAGAAAAAAATTCCTTACTGAAATGTCTGACC